AGAGACCCCCCCCTGAGGAGACCTCACGTCCTGCTGCCTCTGCACAACCAGGGGCCCCATGCAGCTGCATGTGTGTGACGCCCGGCTCTCACGGGATCGAAGGCCGCGTGGGTTGGGAGGAACGTGCTCCGCCTCCCCCACCCAGAGAGCAGCCTGACGGGCAGGGAGGCGGCTGCAGCTGAGTCCCAGGGCACCTCCTCACCAGGGCTGGCCTTCGGCCCTCCCTGGACCCTACTTTCCCTGAGAGAGGGTTGCTGGGGTCACACCCAGCGCAGAGCTCAGCCTGGCTCTGCTCAGGAGTGGCCAACCTGCTGCCAGGGACTGAACCGGGGTCACAGCCACAACCCTGGGCTGTCTTGGTACCCTCTGAGCCACGTGCCTTCTGCTGCCCCTCCATTGTGGCCTGGCCCCGCCCACTCTCATGCCAAATCCGTGGTGCAAGAACTCTGGCCAGCCCTGGCCCCGACTTCCTTCCCACTGAGCCACCCCTGGCTGGACGGTGCGGCCCACTCTCAGAAAGAGACCAAACTGGGGTTCCAAAAGTCTGGTCGCAGACAGCATACAAGCAAAACTGAGCTCAGGGCATGTGGGCAGCACCTCGGAAGCATCTGGAAGGCAGTTCTCAGCCTCCAACTCTGGGCCAGCCTATGCCCAGGAGGTGCCAACACTCACACTGGGGCTCCCCCCTCGGCCCCCATTTCCTTCAGCCTGCTGTCAGTGGAAGTCCACTGAGACGCTGCCACAGGGCACTCAGACTGCTCTCCTGCGGTGCCTCCGCGGCTGATGCTTCTGCCCTCACCGGCTCAAGCCCCCGAGCCCCAAGAGGACTCAGCTGCCAAGAACCTTCCCCACACCCGCATCCCTCCAGGCTCTGAGCACAGGGGCCTTCCGCAACACCTCTGGACACAGTTGCTGCATTTGGGGGCTCCCTGGAGAGTCTCCTGCTCCCCAAAGTCTTTACAGAGAGTTCCCGTCCTTGTGTTTAAAACGCTACCATGCCGGGCAGGAGAAGACAGGTCACAGCCCAGGCCCCAGGCACACCCGCAGACCTTTGGCCCCTCTGCACCCTGGCTTCTGGAAGGTCCTTCCAGACAGGCTCGAGGACCACGCAGGGTACCAGGCCTTTCGCTCAGTGTCCCAGCTTTCACGTTCCCGAGTGAGCCGCCTGCCCGCGGCAGACCCACACTCCTAACAGCTAACCAGGCCGTTGCAGAACAATCCTGCACCGTGCCTTCTCCTCGCTTCTGCCCAGGACATCGACTTGCTGTAGCCCTCACTCAGGCCTGCACTGGCCACTTCCTGCAGAAGTGGGGGACTCCCAACTGTTACACAGCAGGGCTTTGGCTCTGGGGCGGGTGCTGGGGCTCCCATAGGGCTCAGTACTCCCCTCTACAGCCCAGTTGTCTTGTTTGGGTTTTGTTTAGGGGCCACACTGGGCAGTGCTCAGGGATCACTCCTGGGGGGGTTCAGAGGGAAATATGGGGTGCCTGGGATTGAGCCCGGGTCAGCCGTGTGCAAGGCAAGCGCTCTCCCTGTCGTGCCACCCTCTAGCCCCTGCAAGCTACCTTTTGGGTCGGAAACTTTTGAGACTCAGGACTGCAGACACCAGCCCCACCCCTGGGGGCTCCCCCATCCCTCTGGCTCATGGGTCCAGGGAGAGGCTTCCCTAGGAGCTTCAGGGGAGCGAGTCCTGGGGCATGCAGAGAATCTGCCCCAGCTTTTCAACCTGCTCACACCCGAGGGTTCCCCTGGACCTCACTAGGGGTGTGCTTTCTCAAGCACCAATGTTCTGCATTGGCTTCAGGAGAGCTGCCAAGGCCGGGCATCAGCAGAAAGCCCGGCCCAGCAGAGTCCAGTGCGACAAGGCTCAGCATGGCAGCACCAGGGAGCTTCTCTTGAGGAAGGGTCCCCCACTTCCTCTCTGCCCTCCTGGGACAACAAGGAACCTCACCCACGCGCCCCCATTCTCCTGCTAGCCAGAGACAGGAAAGACCTTGCACACAACTGGCCCAGGCTGGATTCCCCATGAGACCCCCAACACTCCGTAAGATCCCCTGCCCCCCGCCCCTGGAATGATCCCTGAGTTCAGGAGTAAGCTCTGAGTACTGCCAGGTGTGACCCCCCACCCCCCAAAAAAATAAAGAGCTCAAGAGATGACAGTTGTCCTACCACACTGGGCCAGCCCCCATCATGCCCAGTGTGACACCAGCTCCTCACATTGGAATGCAAAGGAACAACATGTGTTCGTGCTGTGGGCTCTGCTCCCGCCCCCACGCCCCAATATCCACCAACTGTCCACTTCCCTCCCGCCATAGAGGTCCTGAGAAGTGTCCATCGCTACTGCATCTCGTTTATGGCTGTTCCAGTCTCAGCCGCTGTGGGCCGGTCACAGGCCAGTGGCTGAGTTGGTGACAGTGGCAGTCCCCAAGTACCTGGGCTTGGTAGAGAAAGAACTTCAAAAACACCAACAGCAGTTCAGTGCCCACTGTGGTAATCTTTTTTTTTTTCTTTTTTTTTTCCGCTGTGGCAATCTTTCACCTTGTCTTTCTGCAACGCTGAATGTCATCAGACCCGTCCGCAAGCAGAGCACCTCTCTCCTTGGCTTGGGTCCAGGACGGCCACAGGGCCGCATCGTTGGGGCAGGGCCTCATTCTGAGAGACGTGCTCTGTCACGAGTGGCCCAAGAGCTAGCAGGGCAGAGCCAGACTCAGCACGGGCCCAGCAAACACTTCATAAGGCCCCTCAAAATGCAGCCTGTTCTTGGTGAAGTCTCCGGGGAGCTCGGCAGGCTGAGCCCTGCACGTGCCTTGGTTCTGTTGGATTCCTGTGGCAGGGCCTGGGGGAGTGGGGGGGGGGGGGTGCATCACGGCACACTGTGCACCCTTGGGAAAGTCAAACACTGTCTGGTCGCACAACAAGGCAAAAATGAGGGAAGAGGAAAGGTTTCAGAGTCAAGACCCAACAAGAAGGGGCTGGAGCAATGGCGCAGCGGGTAGGGCGTTTGCCTTGCACGCGGTCAACCTGGGTTCGATCCCCAGCATCCCATATGGTCCCCCAAGCACCGCCAGGAGTACTTCCTGAGTGCAGAGCCAGGACTAACCCCTGTGCATTGTCAGGTGTAACCCAAAAAGTAAAAAAAAAAAAAAAAAAAAAAAAAAAAAACACAACTCAATAAAAAGTTATAGCCAGCAAAAAATGTTTAAAATACAAGTTTAAACCGTGCTGAGTTCCGCTTGGGGAGAGACAGTACGGGAAGGGGCTTCCCCTGGGCACAGCTGATCGGGGCTCAGTCCCCAGTATTACACAGGAGCCCCCGCACAGTCAGGAGTGAGCCCTGGGCACTACAGGGCATGACCCCAAAACCAAATAAAAGCTGTTACTAAAATTCACAAGTGCAGACCAGTGTTCCCCTAGAGCATTCATTTATGGCAATGACGAAGAAAGGGGCTCTAACCACAATACCTCTTCACAGAGCCAGCCTGGACCTGCACGGGCAGGGGCAGGCGTCTGGGCCCTGAGGGACACGGCAGCCCTGCCCAGTGTCAGTGGCGGAGGGTCGCTGGCAGAGGCCCATGTGAGCAGCAGAACTCTGACAGTGCTGTCTGGCCCGCTGTACGAATATGTAGGAGCGTCACAGCTGCCGCTTACTCTGCAATGCTGCCCCTGGCAGACGGAGGCAGAAACCCTGCAGTGTGTCCCCACAGGCCCACAGGAACCCCGAGCCCACAGAAAGGAAGGAGGCGTGGAACTCACGAAGACACAGAGTTGGGGGTTGTGGGCCAGACATGGCCCACAGGGAGGTGGGCCTGGGTGCCGTCAGGGGAGAGTCTCTTGGGGCCCCAGGAGGTTCTGGGCGGTGTGCTGGGCAGGTCCCGAAAGGCACACGCACCTAACGCTCGGGGCTTCTGACTCTCACGCTGAGAAAAGGGCCGTGTGCTGGACTCCGTGCGGGCTCACTACCCTAAAACCACGCCTCAACCTAAAAACCAAAGTGCAATTAAACAGAATCAAGTCCTTCGGTGACTTCCGAGCCCTATGCCATGCGCCTGGGGGGACAGAAAACAAACTGCTGAAGCCCCGCGCCACCGAGGGGCCGGAGGTTAGACGGAGCCGGGCGCAGGCCCCGTGAGCTCACTGCCGAGACGCCAAGCCTCCGCGGTGACGAGTGACATGTTTACATCGACCACCCGCTTCGGGCGGACACCGGCGGAGCACGAGGTGACACTGGGGGACTGTGTCAACACACAGCAGCCACCATCTGCTGACCCACGGCCCCAGGAGGGCCGGAGCAGCACCGCTGCGCCCAGGTCCGCCTGGACAGGACAGATTCCTCTCCGGAAGGAAGCGGCTCCTGCGTCGTCTCACCTGCACGGGTTCCTGTTATGAGGCCCGAGGGCGGGGAGGGTGACCTGCCCCCAAGCGGCTGTTGCCGGCCGTCCGCAGGGACCCCGGGTAGGGGGAGCAGAGAGGAAGAAGCCGGGTGGCGCCGAGAAAGAGAACAAACGCTTCCACGCTTCCTGTTTCTCCAGAACCTCACTTCCAGCAGCTGCAGGCGGGCACTGGCCCCCGGGACAGGGTGGGCCCCCGAGACCCCCAACACACCAGGGACACTAAACAAACCCTCCACTGGGTCCTGGGGCTCCTGCCTTAGTCGGTCCTCTCTGGGGGGAGCTCGAAACCAGACGTTCCTCTCACACCCACGGGTTCCCCTCGGCTGAGCCTCAGAGGCAGCAAGTGCATAAGTTTGAACAGCGGACGCTCGTGTTCTCCCGACGACGTGTCAAGTGCAGGGAGAAGCCGCCTGCCACCCTGCCACCCTGCCACGGGGAGGCCCGTTTAGCTCCACTAGCTGAGGCCCGGGGCTCGCAGGAGAGGCCGTCCCAGAAAACAAACAAGCAAACGAGGAGGTCACCAGAGAGGGCCAAGTGCTGGCCACGTTTATTTCACACCATGATTGCTGACTTCGTTAGGCAACAGCTGGGGCAGCCCGCTCCCCTCTGCAGGGTTCTCACTGGGCACGGAGTGGGGGCAGAGGGCGCTGGCACAGCAAGTGAGGTGGACAGAGACCAGCGGGGCTCCCGGGGCCCGCCGTCAACTGCAGCGTGCAGAGGGGCCGCATGGAGCACTGCTGCCTCCCCGGGCTCCTGAAGCACGAGAGAGAGCCAGCAGGCACGGGGTCTAGCTGGCCTGGTAGCAGTCAGCAGGCGCAGGGCACGGGGGTTTAGCTGGCCTGGTGGCAGTCGCCAGCCGTGGGCACGGGAACGGCGGCAGCAGGATACCGGTCCCATCTCCCTTTCTGGCTCTCAGGCCACGTGGCTCCCAAAGCCCTCCCCGTGCACCCCAGAAAGCGCTCGCCTAACTGGAGGGCCCAGTGGGGGCAAGCAGGGAGCCCTGGCCGTGCTGGGGAACACTGCCCAGAGCTGCATGTCTGGAAGGTTCTGGAAGGGACTTCCTCGTGATGACTCAGCTCCAACAGCACTGCACTGAGAAGACGCAGGCCTCGCTCGCACAGCCCTGGTGCACGTGGCTGTCCCTCTGCGTCACCCACCGACTCTTCCGTCCTGCTGTGTTCGCCTGCTTCCTCTCCGGGCTCTGGTTTGTGGAGTGGCTCTCGCTGCACAGCCTGACCCGTGGGCAGAGCGGAGGGAGCTTACCCCATCAGCGCTGCCCAGTCCACAGGGGTGAAAAACGGGTGCGACTTGATGTCTTCGACCCCAGCGACTCCAGCACCGAGACGCTCCACAGGGTTGAACTGCAAGAGCTGAGAGAGAAGGGCCAGGTGAGTCCCAGGCGGCAGTGGGGCACAGCAGCACTGTGAGCAGGGGGAGGAGAGGCACAGGCTCTGGGCATGGCTGTGCCCGGCCTTGGAACCCGAGCTAGGGCCACGGATCCGCGTGGGGCGGGGTTCCCTGGCTGGCTCGCCTCACACAGCAGGGCTCCTGAGGGCCAGACTGGGCACTGCCCAGAATGCAGGCAGGCCGGGAGCCTGAAAGAGAACAAACCGTCCACAAGGAAGTCGGGGGTGCGAGGGTAGCTTGTCTTTCACTCCCTGGGAGTGAGGTCCCACCAGATCCTTAATGAACCAAGACCTCGTCCCCAAGCCCTTTCTTAGGGAGCTTGGTGAGCCAGGGAGGACACACGGCGTTCCCTGCCTAGGCCGCCACCAGCTAAGAAAGGACGTGGCCGGCACAGGTCCAGCTGCCGCCTCCACCACAAGAGCCCCGAGAGCGCAGACCCAACCGTCGGCAGGTGTGCTGTTGGGTTGGGTTGGGTTGGAAGGTGGACGGGGGATGCTCACAGGCCAGGCCCGGGCTCTGCATGCAGGAGGCCCAGTCCACCTCCAGCACCACGTGAACCCGAGCAAGCACCAAGCCACGAGTGGCCCAAAAGAAAAAAAAAAAAGTTGAGCACCTTTTAGTTGAGCGTCTTGACACTGGCCAAGCGCACTGCTTCTGCGGGGAACGTCAGTTCTCAGACTGAGTGTTCTGCACTGCTGTAGTCCGAGCACTCCTGCACCTCTAGATCTAAGGCCTTCGCTGTACTCTGTGATGTGCTTTGTCTGTCTGGTTGGCCGGGTGGTTCGGGGCCACACCCAGCAATGCTCAGGGAGTACTCCTGGCTCTGCACCCAGCAAGTGCTCCTGCTGGTGCCAGGGACCGAACCGTGATAGCCACATGGGAGGCAAGTGCGCCCCCCCCCCACCCATCCTATCACCGCCGCCCCGCCCTTCCCACATGGTCTTTCGAAGTGCAAGTGATCCATTTTCACAGAGCACACCTACCTCTTACCTTCTGGGCTGTTTCCTACTCAGCTCCTGTACCTGTGTTTGCTCTCTCCTAAGTCCCTGGCACCAGGCAGGGCTCCCTGAGCCACCCCAGCCACGAGCCTAACAGCCTTTGTGCTCACTCGGCTCCAGCGTGGGAATATTTGGCTTTTCCAACACCCCTGGTTGAAGACTTCTTTCACCGCGAATAACCTTGACATCTTTACTGAAAAATCAATCGACCTTGAAAGTCTGGACCCTGATCTTTGCTCTCATATAACAGTAAAGAGGGAAGGACAGGGCTTTTAAAAAAGTGGAAATTCGAGATAAGTCCTCCAACTTCATTCTTTGAAAACCACCTCAGGTTTTCTGCACTTTTTCATATAAATTTTGAGTCAGCTAAAAGGTTTTCCAACGTCACTGACCGTTTCAAAAATCCAGTTCTATGTCAATTTTCATCTTATTTTTCTGTTTTCTATGTCATGGATTTTCAATTCTTTTGCTTGCTCTGACTTTGCCTGCGGTTTCCTTTTCCAGTGTTCTCAGGGACAAGGTGAGATTTCTGAGACCGTTCTTCTTTTCTCACACGTTTCAAGCCATGAAGTTTCTTCACAAACTAATTTCCCAGCGCCGTAGAAATGCGGAGAGACTGTGTTTCTGTTCGGTTAAGGATGCCTCCTCCGTTCACCCGGGCTTTCCCCTCGGTGACACGGCTCCTTCATTCCCGAGTGTGTGTGTGTGTGTGTGTGTGTGTGTGTGTGTGTGGATTCGCCGGCTGTCAGAAACTGATTTCTGATGGGACTGCCATGGCCAGGCTCGCCATGAGCTCAACCCCTTAAACGCCGGGATTCATCCTGTGGCGGAGCACATGATCTGCATCGGAGAACATGCCACAGCGGATTACGATCCACTGCGCAGGCTCGACGGGCAGAGAAGCACGGCTCCACCCCGGCTCCGTATGGCCCCCAAGCAGGGCCAGAAGCAGCGCCCAGCACAGAGCCAGTGCGGTCCCCAAACCATGTCCTCTGCTACCACCGGGGCCAAGCTCGAGGTGTGCCGTGCGGGCTGATGATGTGGCGCCTTGCTACTGACCGGTGACCAGGAGGTCAGGAGACCGACCTGTGCCATGCGAGCCTCCCGCTGTCCTCCAGTGGGCCTGGCTCTGTTCTCACGACTCGAGGCTGCGGCTGGCGCGAGACCCCCGCACTGCTGGCCCCCGGTCTGCACTGACCCTCTGTCCCTCTGCACACTGGCCCTCCTCGATTCCTTGTGACGCCACCTCAGTGCACGGCGCGTTTCTGCCCCAGCTCCACCGTGCCCTGAACCCATCGCCCAGCTCTGCCCGCCTCTCCCCTTCCCACCCATCTGGCCAGCTGCATCTCCTCCTCCAGTTGGGCAATCTCAGGCCCCGATGTGAGTGTCAGGGCTTGCTCTCCAAGCCATGCGCCTTCCCTAGCTCCCCCCCCTCCCGTTCCTTGAGCGCTTCGAAGCTCGAAGGCTGCTGTGTCCAATAGCTCAGGGCCCCAGGCTATCCTCAGCAGTGGCCACACGGTCCTGAGGCTCAAAGTGGGGTCTCAGATACGCAAAGCACATGCTCTGTCGCTGAAGCCGTCCCTCGAAGTCACGCCAAACACCAGTACCGTATCTTTCTGCTCCTGCCTCATTTCATTGCACTTTGTTTTTATTTCGGCAACACAACCTGCGGCAGTGTCCTTGCCAGTATCTCCGGAAAATGGTGTGGCCACGCCACCACCAGACCGAACACCCCCACCGGCTCTATCCTCCGCACTCCCCCCACGATCTTCCCAGCGACTCCGTGGGGGTCATGGTGCAGCTTCTGCACCACGCTCCCCTTCAGCTGCTCCCCACGCCCCGTGTTCCCCACCTGCTGCCACGTTTGCTCTCACGCCGCCTCCACTCACCCTCTGTGCCCCACGCACGGTGCTGCCGCGACTGTTCCTCTCCATGTGTATTTCTGGGGAGACAGGAAGTAAGAACAAAGACCCTGGGCTTCCCACCCGTCCCCTGCCTTGGGCAGGGCCTCGCTCTGGCGGCCGGCGGGCCAGCCCCGTGGGCACCCTGGTCTGCCGTGCCCAGCGCGTCCGTGCCCCCGTCGTCGTCACACCATCTGAAGGGTATCCGTGCAGGCCGGGACCTGTGGTCGCACGTCCCCCGTGCAGGGCTCCACTGCCGCGCCCCATGGAGGCTCCCCCTGCTGGCGCCTCTGAGCCATTGCCTTCCGCTGCTTCCAAACGCTTTTTGTCCTTCAACAATCCACTGCAGGCCTAGCGGAGCTGCTGCCTCCCTGGTGAACACGAATGTCCCTCGCAGACCTGGGTGTTCTTAGCCACTGTTCTTCACCTCCTTCTGCCCTCTGCCACCTCTCTCCTTCCGAGCACGGGTGGAACGGTGCACTCTGACCTTTTCCCACAGCTCTCGCTACCCTGTTTGTTTTCCTTTGATTTTTTTCTTTTCTTTCCAGATTGGAGCGTTCCTATTGTTCCTCTCGGACTGAAGGGTCCTCTCCTCATCTCCCACAAACCTGCGGCTACAATGACGGAGTGACTTTTTCCTCCGAGTGAATTTTCCACTTCTATGAAATGGAGTTTTGAGCACTTCTTCGTGGTTCCTGTTTGCTATCTGTCTCCTTCTTGAGAATCTGTTTGTTGGCTCATTGCTGCCGCATTTCCCTTAGTTCTCTACATGTGGTTTCCTTTTGTTCTTTTAGTCAACTGATAACCAATTAGCGGTTTCTGCTGAACCCCAAATCTGGGGACACTCAGGGACAATTTCTATTGATGCTATTTTTCCTGCATACAGGTCACATTTTCTCCCCTCTTTGAATGTCTTAAAATACTTGGATGAAAACAGGACATTTTAGAGACTATATTTTAGGAACTCTGGAGTCTGATTTTCCCCCATGAAGGGAGTTATCATTGCTGGGGTGGGTTTGTTCTCTGTTTAGTAACTTGTTTCAACCAGATCTGAGAGTTGGCGACCCCCACCCTCAGGCCTCCCAGCTGCTGGCCCCGTCAGACATCTGCTTCCTGTCTTGCTTCTGAGCGTGGCTTTCTAGGGACCACTGTCTGCAAGGCTGGGTGCCCCCTGGATGGGAAGGGCATGTGCTAAGCACCTTCTCTCATCACAAGACTCTGAAACGAGGCCGAGGCCGCTTGGACCAGCCCAGGCTCCTCCCTGGGGTCCCTGCCCCCGGGCACAGGAGCGCTGCCTCCAGGTGGCCCTCCCGGCCCAACCCAACCCAGCAGATCACTCACTCCGGAGCAGGTAGGGAGAGCCTGGGGGGCCCGGGCAGAATGCTACAGAGGAGGCAGTGCGGCCCAGAGGCAGGGCCTGGCCATGACCCTGGACTGCCCCTCCCCTACCACCAGGGGCACCTCATGAGGCCCCAAGCACTGCATGTCCGGAACAACTTTCAAAAAAGAGGGAGGGAGAAAAGAAATGAGGGAGGGAGGGAAGAAGAGAGGGCGGAAGGGTCCCACTGCTGCCCCCTACGTCTGGCCATCTGAGCCCCAGCCGCCTGAGGCTGTGGCAACCCTCTGATCCTGTCCAGAGCTCTGGGATGCCTCTTCCTGCCACCTGGGTCCAATATTAGGATTTCTTTGCAGGGGGACAGAATTTCACAACTTCTGCCTGTAGTCTTTCAAATCTGGGCATCTTCCTATTGGAAACAAGTATGGCCAGAGGTGACAGTGAGTGCAGCTGAGCCACTGCAGTGGTTTCTTTACACCAGTGACGCTCCTGTGTGGACAGGAAATCCCAGCTCCAGACCCAAGCGCTGCCTGGCAGTGCCCCTGTGTCTTCCTCTCTCCCGCCCCCCGCCGCACCCCTCAGGGTGCCGCTCCTCCACTCTGGAACAGCAGCTGATGTCCCCAGGGCCCAGATCCGTCATGACCAGTGGCCCTCAGGGGTCGGCCAACGGTGGGTCCACAACAGTGACATGGACCTGGGGGCGCGCGCCTTGCTGCAGGCTGACTAGCTCCATTCACGGTGGCTCTCACCATTGCTGCTGTCAGTGGCATGATCTCACCATACAGGAAACGGAATCTAAAGCCAGTCCGTCCAACCGAGAGCCAACCTGAGGGCCCAGCTTTGGCCCCAGCATCGCACCACAAACCACCGAGCATGTCACTGAGGCCACCGAGTCCCAAGGGCAGGGCAGCCTGCATCCCTGACCCACCCTCCATCCCAAACACAAATTATCTTTGATTGTTCTGGGTCTGGGCTCCCAAGTAGTGCTCAGAGGCTCAGGGGCACAGGCAGGCAGTTCAATGCAAGAGCCCGAACATGGCACTGCTGGGCCCCTTGGGGACAGGGACGACTCGGGAAACTCCAGGCCTCACCCAGCGTTGCTCAGTGGAGAATCAAAATGCAGCCAACACCGAGGCCCCGACCCCTGCAGCCCTCTGGTTCCCATGCTATGCCCATCGAGGCTAACGGTCCAGGAATATTTTTACCAGAATTGATACTGTAAAATAAGCACCATGAGAACATCCCAAATGTGTTCCAGCCAATCAAAGCATGTTTACTAAATATAAATCTTTTTAATGTGAACGATATCATTCTAATCAAAATGTTCAATATCTAACACTGATAAAAAAAAATCTAAAAGATCATTTGGTCTAAGAACTTGCTAGAATAGCCCTGTTTTAATTTTTCAGGAGGTGTAAGAATGTGTACATTATCTCTCTGTCACAGCCTGTCCACTGCTGTTTGTCCCCAAATATGACATCGCTATAAAATTCCAATGAACGTCCTGGCTTTGGTTTTCACTGAGGTCAGTTTAGAAGTCCACAGTGTCAGCCGCTGGCCTGCCAGCTTCGGTCCACAGACCAAAGCACCCTGGTGTCCCAAAGGACTGGCCATCTTGCTATCTGCCAATTCAATACCAACCCTCCAGAGAGTCTGGGGCCAAAGAGAATGTGGTAGTCGGTGGGAGACACCAGCGACAGTCCTGCAGCCCCCCAAAAGCAGCGAAGAGCCCAGCACTGCGGCCCGTCTTCTCACAGAAACATCTTTTCCTCAAACAACCTTCCAACCGACAAAATGACCAAGAAGAAACCGTGCGGAGCCTGAGGCGCAGACACGGCTGCTTCCGGGCCCGTGATGTGGATCTTTCTGTCACGGACCTCCCCGGACCCGCTGGTCTAACACCAGTTTCCCCGCATGCCATTCACGGGGAGAGTGGGGTGCTGGGGACCAGGGGTCACGAACCCCGTGAGGAAGGCGGGAGCTGGAGACCAGGGGAAGTCTGCCCACCAGAGTCAGTTTCCATAAATCACTCTGATGCTGGAGAACGACCCCCATGACCCGTGAGGTAGTGGGAGAGGAAAGACAGATGACAAACCGCTGACCGTGGTACAGACCCCTTCCCTTTCCGGATGCTGTTTCCGTGATAGGATGGGGGGAGCGGGGGGATGCACATTTGCCCCCAGTCCCCCACGGCTGCCCTCTGCGCTGACACAGGAATCCCATTTCCCCTCTCCACGGCAGAGAGCCCAGAAACAGCGGCTGTCGGACTCCCCGACAGGGTCCCTAAAGCCGACTCTGTGCTCCAGCCCAGGGAACCCCGTCCTGTCCTCCCACTGGGATCGAGGTGCCCCGTCTATGCAGGACCTTTGGCCCGGGGCTCCGAGGGCAGCGTTTCAGCTCCCCGCCTCCTGGTAGAGCTTCTGGGACACAACACAACTCCACGTCTCCATCTCACCAGCCTGGCGGGCCCCGAGAGACTTCAGAGCCCACCCTCCTCCCACCCCTCCGCAGTCACCACTCACAGTGGCACATCAAGTCCTTTGTCCCCCAAACAGAGGCTTCTGGTTCCGTTGCTGTAGCCCCACACCACCTCGTCAGCCCATAGAGATACTCCTATCCTTTGCCACTGCCTTGCCAAAGTGGGTTCGGCAACTCTTTCCACGTCTGTGGGACGTGAGCAGATGAACCCACAGCACTGTGGCAGTACCTGCCGCACAGAACCCAAATCTGCCAAGTAAGGTGATGTGCATTTGCACATGCTGCCCACTGGGGGGCCGGGCCACAAGGCAGAGGAGCACAGCACACAGGAATCCCACCTTGCGAGCACGTGGTCCCAAGTTCTAATCTCTGTGTCGACGTGCAGCCAGCACAACCCCAGCAGCTCCACCATCTGCTCCCCCCAAAGCCACAAGTAAATCTCACGGCAGTCAGGGGGCGAAACCCCACATGGGGGCACAACACCCGGCAAGCACAGGAAGATGGGCGAGCTCCCTGGTCGGGAAGCACAAACTCTGAGAGCACTGGGGCACTCTGGGGGCTCTGAGGAGCACCGGGGGAACTGGAAAGGGGCTCTGGGAGTACTGTGGAAGCTCCAGGGGAGCACCATAGGAGCACTGCGGAGACCCCAGGGAGCTGACGGAGCCAAGCCCGAGAGCACCCTGAGCGCCACAGCCAGGGTGGGGAGGGCGCCCAGCAAGCACACGGCGAGGAGGGCAGGAAGGGCCCGCGTGGGCGCGTCTGCAGGACACTCTCCCCTCCACACCGTGCATGGGAATTCGTTTCTCCTAAATCACAAATAATCCAGCTCCCTCCACCAGAACTCAGTTTCTGACCTGGCTGACGCTGTCGGTGAACACCAAAGGGCCCCGGGACTGACTGTCCTGGCCAAGCCTCACCTGCTGGACGAGGGAGCGCGCCTCTTCCGACACGCAGCCAGGCACGTCCACCGTTGTGTGTGAGCTGATCCCCGCCGGGTGGCACTCGAGCAGGGTCTGCAAGACACAGAGCAGACTCGCCTGCACAAGGCCCACTGTCCAGCGTCGGGGGGCACGGAGTGGAGAAGCCCCCAGGAGCGCAGGGCAGCCCCCAGGAGCCTGGCTGGAGGGGCTGGAGGGTGGCACTGTCACCTTGGAGTTGGGGCCACCAGCTCCAAGCACCCAGTGTGCAGTTCCCGTCTCCCTCGGGGCAGGTGCCACGCCCCTCTCCTGACCCCAGAGAGGTTCCCCCGTCCTTGATCGGGAACAGGAGGGAGGTGCAGGGGGGAAAGGCGACACCTGGAAAATGACATCTCCTGGCCCTGGGCAGATGATGGGCACAGTCAGAGCTTCCCAGCAGCTCCCGAAGCCTCTTGGGGCCCGCCTCCACTGGCACTATGCGGGGGACCCTCCTCCGTCCAGGGCATTCCGGGATTGCCAGCTGTGCAGGGCGGGGGGGCCTGCATCTCTCTCGCTCCCTCTCACCTTGCCTGTGAGAAGTTCGAAAAGCATGGCTCCCAGACTCCACCAGTCACAGGCCTCCGTCTCCTCGGTGATGGCTCCAACCTCTAGACACACCAAAAAAAGGTTGATATTAACATTCCGGAGGCCAATTAGACCCGAATTAACATGCGCGTGCGGCGCCCTGGGCAATGCTGACAGAGCAGATACTGAGGCCTCCGGCTTTCAAAATGCCTGAAAGTTACTCGCCCTTCAGTGACCTCCTGGGTTTGCATTTTTTTTTTTTTTGACACAGTCATACATTAAACTTTAGTTGACGGAGGGACACCTTCAAGACACTATCCCTGAAGGTGCACGGGCTCCGTGTCAGCAAGTCAGCACTCCACTCCACTTTTCAACTGGAGAAAGTCCGGCCAACTGCAGCTGGGGGTCATCTTCTGTTTCAGAATCATGTTCCAGATTACAGAGCTTCAAACATCACTAGTGCTGGGAGTGATTACCCCCTTGGGGCGAAGTGGCAAGAAAGGGGCCCTGTCCAAAATCACTGCAGCACCAGCAGTGATATTGGGGGTGACCCCTCCTTCTCATACTATCAGGAATCACCACATGCACGTGCACATGCACGCGCGCGCGCGCGCACACACACACACACACACACACACACACACACACAGAGTGCCACTCACAGGACAGACAGCTCTGACACTGTGGCGTCTGGGAGAACAAGCCCACACTCAGCTGGCAGACGCACTGGTCAGAACCCATGAGCGGGGATATTATCCTAGTATCAGGGTTCCCACCAGCAGCTCCCCGTCACCAACTCTTGAGGCGCTGAGATATTCAGTCCTGCCTGACACCCAGAGTCCTTCCTCAGTGACATGCCATCTGTGGGCCTGGTCACGCCCTGTCCAGCCCCCACGCCCACTCCCAGCTCCAATCTCTTAAGCAGCAGGGCTGGAGCCTGGGAAGCTGCCCTCTCCTACCCCACCCCACCCTCCCACTGGGCTCAAAGCACCGCAGCATGACACAACAGGCACTGGCCGGCCAGCCCAGACCGTGGCAGGAGGGCAAGGAATCGGCATGACTGACTGGAACCCCGCAGAGAACCAAGCCCCAGGAACCCCAATGCATCCCAGCAGAGGTCAAAGCACACTCCCTGCCACAGGCCTCTCGGACTGTGCATCCACCCGGGGCCAGGGGCCAGCTGTGTCCCGTCCACGCCCCGGGGCTAGCCCTAAAGTCCACGCTGCAAAGGACAGCGAGGAATCGGCAACTCTCCGATCTGCCTCAGGTGGTGGGAATTCCATCTCACCGTACTCGCCACGTGCAGGTGCGAGGGCAGACAGACAGCTGGACGCAATGCCCCGAAAGCAGGGACCCACGTTCTCCTGCCTGCCTGATGTGGCACCAGATGGGCAGAGGGCTGGCCCTGCTCAGGCCAGAGGCCCAGGAAACCCGGTGCTCGTGCTCGCAGCAGGAGCCGAGAACTGGCTCTACACTGGCGTTTCTACTCCTGAAGACGCCTCCCTCCGGGATGAGATGACACCCAGCCCGGAGCTTAGTCACGCCCAGAGGCATCCTCATCAAGTGCTGACCGGCCTGTGCTCTAGGGTCTAGAAACGGAGCCGAGCAGGCAGCAGCCGAGCATGGGTAGCGCTGCTCCTGACTCACACCCAGGGGCCACCAGGCCCCATACAGCTCAGGTCCGTGTCTCTCATCAGACCACACAGGCTCCACCTACACCAACAACTGCCCCCGCGCCCCTCGCCCCCCAGAAACTCCTGGGACCAGCCACACACGACAGCTGCTTTCCAGAGTCTCTCTCACTCAAAACCTGCAGCTCTCCCAGAAGTCTTAGCCCATTCACAGCTCTCACCCAGCTCCCCAACCCACCCTCTGTTTGAACTGAACCCCCCAGAGAAGCTCTTTCTGCCTGACTGTGGCTTTGCTCTGGCAGGCACCAGCCGCAGGAGCCAGGCCGAGCAGTGAGCACCGTGGCTGGGGCGCCGCCCTCACGAGGACTGGCCCCAGGGCTGTCCCAGCAGCACTATGGGCCCCCGCCCCCGGCCCTGTGTTGGACCGCCAGCCCAGAGGGCCAGTGACTGCTGCGAGGGGCCCAGAGCACCAGGTGGGAAGCCTCCCAAAACACCGTCTGGCTGCCAAGGGGAGGGTCTGATCAGCCATGCAAAGTGAGGTCACTCAGAGCACACGGGGTGCAGGCGCCGCCCTGCCACCCCCCCCCCCACAACCCCATGGCGCTGTGACCAGGCACTGCCACCCTCATTCACACTTTTCATCCTGTCTCCCCTTGCTGACGGTGATGGGACGCGGCTCCTCTGGGCACCTCTGCTTCCCCTGGGTGCTGCCATCCCCGACAACGAGCCTGGGCAACCCGGCCCATCTTTGTCAGGAGCGGCTCCTGGCAGTGCCCGCGACACTCTCCCAGATGGTCCTGCCTGCAAAGGGACCCAACAAGCAGCACAGCTGAGAGCACTCTTCCACAGGTACCAGAGCAAGTACCCGGGTATCCAGGCACCTGACCTGGCCATCGGTGTGCAGAGCAGCCAGCGCTACACGGGCTCACACACCAGCCAGAAAGGGATGGGCGGCAGTGAATGCATTCTGGGGGGAAAAGGCAGCAAATGCATCAGTGCCAGCTGCCATGGGGTTTTCTTTTGTTTCCAAAGTGACTTTTTCCTCCGGTGGTGGGAGTGACACGGGCTCGCAAGCACCAACAGTAAGATGAACCCTCACAAACCCTACCACCTGGAAGGGGAAAATCCTGGTAAATAAGTACTTTTTAAAAATCTGAATTTGAGAATTCGACCCTCTTTTGGAAAAGAACTGACAGTAAGTAAACAAGACAGTCTTCAGAGTCAGAGTTCTCTACTACATTACAAAGAGCACAAAACCACACCCTCGGAGACCTTAAGACCAAAGCGACGGACATGCAGCCTGAGAAGCAAGCGGGACTGTCTCAAGTCCCACACATTCTCTCAGTGTCCAACAGGGTCTCCTGGGGTGGGGTACTGCAGCATCCCAGCTCCTCCTGGCAAGGGCCTGGGGGACCGTCAGGAGGTGCCGGGGACCGGCATGTGAGCACCCCCAACCCAGCCCCAAGAACTAAGATTTCCTTGTAGGTCCGGCTGGCCCAGGAGCTTGTGCGCCTTGTGTGAGAGAGGCCTGAGCTCCAACCCCTGCACTGCAAAGAGAGTAAACAACATTCAAGCTACTCTTCACTGTCAGGAGGGCGCTGGCTCTCTCTCCCCAGGGAAGCCAGAGAAGGGGCCGAAAGCAAGCCCTGAGCTGGCACCGCGGCCCAGGCAGGCCCCAGGAGGCAGCGAGCAGGCACGTGGGCGAAGCAGGGCACCGGGACGGCCCCACACAGCCCCTCTTCTCCGCAGCATCTGTTGCTAATTGAAAGGGACTAGAATGACAAAACTCGAGTCGATTTCCCTCCCCAGCTCTTGCTGTGTGTAAAGATTTCCCACACGGGGGCAAGCATTAGTCTCCCACCGCAGCTGATGGCTAAAGAGCAAAGAGAAAGAAACACAGACCAGAGCTTTTTTCTAATCCAACAATGTACGGAATTAAACGGTGACAAGAGGGACAGCTCAGCGGACCTTCTGTGAGCTCGGTCGGCTGCCGCTCCATCAACCCAGCCTCCACCTCTGCGGGCAGCCCCCGCCCTGCTCTGCCGTCTGCGTCACCCTGCCCCACAGGCGGCCCCTCCAGGATTCCCGCCAGGCCAGCTTGCACCACGCACCTCCAGCATCCAACACCAGCTTCCGTGCCCAGCACCTCCCGGCAGACTGAAAAACCCCAGCTGCAAAAGCACGCTAGGTGCTGCTGAAACACGGGTGCGAGCAGGTCACCTGGTGACTGCATGGCCTGGGGAGGAAGGGCAAGGGCCCAAGTGGTGCTGGAGTAGGGTTCGGGGCCCCTCTGTGGAGCTTGCTAGCCTCCTGGGGCCCTGGAACCAGGGCTCGGGGCCCAGGAACACTGAGGTCTAAACAGGAAGCAGGCAGCTTACGACTCAGGGTTCCCCAACCCTGTCGAGCACAAGGACCTGGCAGGGGCCTGCAGGGCTGCAGGGGCTGGATGCCAGCCCAACCTGCATAATTCCGCCTCCTGGGCCTAGCCCAGCACGTGGAGCACTGTCTCAGGAGTTTGCAAGACGCACAACTGCCCACCACTAAGACCCTGCCAGCCAGCACCAGCCCCTCTGCTCTCAGGCATCTCAGGCAGGAGAGAGCCAACCACGCCACGTCCCCACTGAGGACGACCAACTCCACTCGGAAGTCACCAAAGCGAAGTCTCTGGAGCAGAAGGCAAAGGCCCGTGCGCTAGGAGCACCTCTCCCTCAGCAGGAGTCCCCGGGGGCTGTCTGCGCCGAGCGAGTGCTCAGGAGTGTGCGATCAGAAGGAGAAAGCACAGGGGGGAGCACAGAGCTTGCCGGCAGCCAGCCCGGCCCCACAGGACAAACTCGAGCAGAGATTCAGGAGTCAGTCCTGAGCACCACCAGGCGTGGCCCCCAAACCAAACATACACGTCTAACGTACATATAAACTCAATGTAGAAAAGGAACGCTCCGGGGAAGTTCTGGAGATCAGGACTGACCCGGCTCCAGACGGCGTGCGGGTGGCCAGGAGGCCCTGCAGCTCCGGACTCAGCCTGGCCCCCCGCTGGGAAAAGCAGAAGGAAGGGGCAGTTTACAACCCCCTTCAGCACGGGGCAGGGAGCAGGAAGCCGAAGAGCTGCCAGACCAAGGCTGCTTGAGGGGGACCAAGGCTGCAGGTCCGGGTGGTTGCGCACCACGTACCCCGCGTCAGGGCTCAGGGCAGCAGCAGCTCAGCTCAGGCCCCCTGCACCACCGGGGGTCACTCCTGAGCAAAGGGCCAGGGAGAGCCCCCAAGTACTGCTGAGTGTGGCCCCAAACATAAAAATGAAAAGGAGAAAACCTCTAGTGTCCAAAATCATAAAGAAAAATAAGTAAGTAAGTAAAGGCCCTCCCGTTGATCGTCGATTTGCTCGAGCGGGCCCAGTAACGTCTCCATTGGAGACTTTGTTGTTACTGTGTCTGGCATATCGAATACTCTCGGTAGCT